GGGGGGAGAACAAGGATTTAGTCTAGGGCTTTGGTTTGTAGTAATGAAAATATTTCATCTTAATACTGCTAAAAAAGAAAAGGAAGCAGGGTAAATATAAATTAGAAATAGTTTAAAAATTTCTCTGAAACAGATTTTTTTAATGTAAATGTGTTAAGATGAACAATTTAAAAACATTGCCAGAAATGAAATGATGTTCTATATGTTCAAGACACATTAGAATAAGAGGTTAAGTTTTTAAGGATATAATACATCAAAGGTAATGTATATAATGTCATTATAATTAATATAGTAGTCTTTTTCAGACCAACCACTTTTAGCCTTACCAGCTACTGATGACTCCATTGAGTATTTTTGTAGAAAAAAAAATTGATTCAGAAGCTAGAAATATAGTAAATAAATTACTTTACATTATTTTACACTCAGAATAATTTGAACAAATATTAGAGAAATTGAAAATATAAGTAATTTTACATAAAATATTAGTATATAACAATTTAGAAAATTTTTTTCTACAGATTAAATTAGAGTTTATCACTAAAAAAATTAGATATTTTTTTCTTAAGAAAACTTTCAATATACTACTATATTTATTTAGCTTGCAATCACACTTCTGAGAATATTAATGTAAATTCTACAGCTTGTGAATATTATTCATTCTGCTTTCTAATGAAACCAAATTTATGGTTATACACTAGAATATTTAGCAATTTTCTTTCCTTTAAAGAATGCAAAGAAGATAGAATGAGCCTCAGAATATGCTTATAACTAAAAGGATACAAAACTTTCATGTACTTATTATAAGAAACAGCATTTTTGATACTTCTGTTTTATTTTCATATTTATATCAGCAACAGGCAAAAAGTAAAGACGACATGTTGACATTAAGGAATGCATCTTTTGGTCTATAACTTTAGCAATTAAAACAGCTATATTGACTAATTAATTGAGCTTTTATATAATTTTTTTTTTTTTTTCACCTAATCAAACTGGACAAGTTTCTTAAATTATTATCAAGTTAATTACTCTGGACTATGACTATTTCATTATTTTCAAATTTCCAACAACCTAAACTCACTACCCGCTTTTTCTTTTTTCCTTCTGATTTTCATTATCATAACAATAATTATTAAATATAATTTCCCCTTTGAGTATTCTGATATAAACTGTACAAGCCTCTGACTTTTTTTTTTTTTTTTTTTTTCTTGGAACAGGAGTAATATTAGAATATGCACAACAGTCATTAAAATTTATATAGACCCAAACTTGTCTGTCTTTTTTTAGAAAAAGAAAAAAGGACTTTTGCTTTGAATTTGGATATCCTTCCTGTTGAAGAATTCTATTTAATGAAACTTGCTTAACCTGTACAAAACTTGAACTACAGACCCCACAATCTCCGAGGCAATTTAATAAATGTATTTGTTCTTAGAGTAAATAATTAATATTACTGAAACCCACCTAGACAGTAAAGTGTGAACTCTACCTCTCATTTTTCAAATTCCTATATTTTACTTTGCAGTAAATTCAATATACAATATTTAGTATCCACTGTTGACTTCTTATAAATCTATACTCCATCACTCTAATCGTTAAGCTTTATATAAACTGTAACCTTTTAATATCAGAGAAAATATCAAATTTATTTATTTGAATGTTATTGCTTTTTTTCTGCTTTATCTGGTTCCTGCTTATTCTACTGCCTCTTTTTTTCTCTCCTTATAATTCAACAAAGCTTATCTGTCAACTGTATAATTTGATCCTCTTTTATAATGTTTGTCTTTTGTTGCAGTCAAAATTTGCTGCATGCAAAGTTTGTAATAACAACAGCCAAAAGATAGGTGCTGTTTTTTTTATTTAAAAAATTGTAAATGTATTTTTCTTTTTTTTCTTTTTGTTTTTTATAGAAAAAAATATTTAAATCTGTAATGTTTTAGCATTATTTTTATATTTTTGAGATGAAAAATTTTCAACCCTTATTATTAATTACTGACGAGTATATGCTTTTGTTGTAATTATTTTTTAATTGCTTTTATGAGGAAGAAAAAGATAGTATTACAGTAAATACTAATTAAAAATTAATACTATAATATTTTAGCTCAAATTTCTTAAGATTCCTGAAATTTCTGTAAATTGTTCTATTCTGGCACATTGCTTCTTTTTTTTTTCTTCTCAGAGATTATGATACATAATATAAATTTTATTCTTACAACAAAAATGAATTAATCAATCTAAAGAAACTCCTTATAAATTCTTAAATGTTGAACTTCTAGATATGTCATTTCACATTTTATTACCAAAACTAGTCAAATTGTAAAATATTTTTTAAATTTCAATTTTGTTTTTCTTAGGCTTTCTTTTTTTTTTTTTTTTTTTTTTTATTCCAGTTTTAAGCATATTATACTGTAGATAATGATGATTGAAGATTATACCATTTTACAAACATGGGAACTTTAAATGTCAAAAATGAGTTTGCTGCTTATATATGCTGGCATATAGAACTCAAAATTCTGATATATTAAGTCAGGATGCATCCTCCAATACAGTATCACTTCTATCAGACCAATTTACAGGTACTAAATGGACCAATAACTCAATAAAAGAAAGTTCTTTTAATGCTTAAAAAGTTTACTTATATGCCAGCATGTACTACAATATAGCGTTATGTATAATTTTGTTTTAATTCATGAACATTTGTTATAATTTAAATATTTGTTTCTGAATGTCATCTTACAACACGTGAAATTTCAAGTGGACATATAAAACTTAGAATTTCTGAAATTTTTAAATTTACTAATATTTGATTGGCTTTTATCTTGTAGAAGATTTTTGGTTTGGAGTGGGGAATAAAGTATACAGTAAGAACTGAAGAATTAATTATACTGTGTTTACTTAAGATGAAAGCTGATCTAATGGTTATTATCAAATTTGAAGAACTTCAGGTTTTGGGGATTTTTTTTTTTTTTTTTTTTTTTTTCAAATCTGTATTGAAAATCATGCCAAAGGTTTGTTTCATTACTACAAAGAACTGTAATATCCTGAGAATTAATATGAAAGTAAAGCAATCATTTAGCAAATATTAACACAGAATTGTTGAAAATTTTTGTAGAAAATTTATTTAAAAAATCGTTACAAAGATCTTGTATAGATTAGTTTGGTTTCCTTCAATGCTAACAAATACAATGTTGATGGTGGAATTCTTTTTCCCAGTGAAACTTTTGAGTTGTTATATTAAGTTTGTTTTTAAAAAAATGATTTTATTTTCAAGCAGTTTACTTTAAAATTGAATATTCATTACTTCAATTTGAATTTCTATGATCATTCTCCGTTCATTAAGTTTAACAAATATGTTTGTCAAGTCAGTATTTCTTAAGGCTAATATCATTATCATTTATGAATACAGAAAGAAATTTTACTAAGTTGTCCCTGATTTGTTGTGAGTGGCAAATAAAACTGCCAAACACTTTTGGTAAATGACCAAAAAATAAATCCTGAAAGTTCTTGATGAAAAATCATACTGTACCTCCAGATATAAATGATTAAAAACAAATGTTTACCATAAATTCCTATTTCAATATATGTCAAAATATTTAAATGAATTTATACCAACCAGTAAGAGTTAACTGTTTTTACTTCAGTAATAATCTCATTCAAATGTCACCACATTCCACTACTTAAAAATAATAATTACATATACTCAGCCCATCATTTGAAGCGACAGATATTTGGTGAGATTCTTTTTAAGTCATGTGCTAATCACTCATCCACATTGTCTGACTTTCTTCCTGTCATTAATGTTTCCAATTTAGTCGATCTACAAAACATTGAAGAAAGAAAATAATTAGTAGCACCATAAAAATTATGATTTCCTTGTTCTGTTTGATCTAAAACACTTTGTTTAATTTATTTATTTTTATTCTTTTAATCATTTCACCCCACGCAAGGCAGTAAAGCCACTAAGATGCAAGGGGTTACTGAGTGTTAGAGAATATGAGAAGAAAGAAAAAACACTATTAAGGAGAGAGAAATTAAAACAGTAAATAACAATTGACATTGCATTTAAATTTTTGAAGATCAAAGTTGACTGGGAATCAAGAAGCTGAAAAAGTTCCACAAGCGAGAAGTGCGATGGAAGAAACTGTTAGCATAGAACTTAGTCACATCTAGCCATTTCAACTTTAAAATGATGAGACCTCGCTGAAATCCAGTACTATGATTAAATTCATAAAGTCTAGGTAATATAGAGGAAAGTTCATCAGAACAATTACCATGAAAGTATTTATAGAAAAGGCACAGGAAAACTACAGTGGTGGGAAAGTGAATGACAGCGAGATGCCAGGTCAGGACCAATAACATTGCAAATTCTTTGGATTTTATCAAGAATCCCTAAATATATAGTAGGTGCACCAGACCAGATGTAGCAGCAATAAATGAAATAATCTGGACTCTAGTGGATTTAAACAATCAGTACAAGTTGTTTATTAAAATAATTCATGTAAAATTGAAGTCTAATTACCTGATCTGGTTATAACCTATACATTGGTATGTGTGTTTTTCATTTTTGCATCTTTGCCACAAATATTTATTAATTCTAACGTCAGAGTTGTAAGTTAGGGTGAGTGGCAAATAAACTGCCAAACACTTTTGGTAAATGACCAAAAAATAAATCCTGAAAGTTCTTGATGAAAAATCATACTGTACTTCTAGATATACATCATTAAAAACAAATGTTAACCAAATAACTTTGGAGTTTCTCAATAATTAAGTCATCTTTTTTTCTTTTCTCTGCTATGCCAAAAGTTCTCTTATCTCATAAATATGCTGATAAGAAAAATTTTAAGTTTGAATTAAATAATTATATTCTATATTTATGAAAAATATTTTGTTGGGTTTTTAAAAATTAATCATTAAAGCAATTAAATGGAGAGTGCAAATAAACTCTTGAAATATTACAAATTACCAAAGTAAATACTAATTGATTGTTATTTTTTGTTTTCTTTCAGGGTGCCAATGCTTCCCAACTGGAAAAAGAGATAGGATCTGACCAATTTCCAGTGAATGAGCACTATTTTGGACTTGTCAATGTAAGTATATCTGGTTTTGTGTTCATGTCTACAAGTTCATGATATATAGTTAGTTTTATATATTATTATTATTATTTTTCCCGTTTCGTTAACTGTCAATCTATGTAGAAATTTGTTCACAGTTTGCTTTTCAGCATAGCGTCTTAGACTTATCCAATTTTTTGATATGATGTTATGGTTAATTTATTAGGTTAACAGTATTCCTCAAAGTATATATATATGATGCTAAAACTTCATAATAAATATGCTTAGTTTTATTATAAAATGTTATATATGCAGCAGTTCCTATCTCTGCCAGGCTAAAATCATAACCACCAAATGGTTTTTACAGAAAAATTGCTGAAAGAAATAATTTGCTGAATTTAACATTTACAAAACTATAACATATATTTCATATTAATAATTTAAAATATTTGGTGTGATTTCTAAAATTGGACAAATAAAAAAAAAAAAAATAAATAAATAAATAAAAATATTTTCATGTTCTTGGTTTCTGAAAGTTTGTTGGTTTTATTAAGTTTTCTAAAGATAAGCTTTTTAAATATGGTGAATGATAAAACTGAATCCATGATAAATATATGGAGAAACTGAATTTTTTTTCACCAATCTCCTAATAATGCTTAAATTTAACATTCTAATTTTAACCATCAGTCCAGACCTGAAGTATATGAGCAAAATAACAAGTGTGTTTACTCATGGTGTCTGCAAAGTAAATATTTAAATTGGGCAATTATTAGTGTCAGGTGTTAACTAGCTTTTTTGAATCCACACATATTCTCATAGCTTTTGTGCATACATGGTGAATGTAGAGTAGAAATGGAAGGTCTGCTTTGGTAATGGGGGACTCCCACAGGCAGACATAAGTTACCTTGTCCAGTGTTATATAAACAGCTGAATGGGTGGAGGGCCAAGGGTAGTTTTGTATTTGTATCTTGTTGGTACAAAAATAAAGTAATTGATAATTACTACTACCATTGTGATTGTGGTTATTTTACATGGCACTGTGAACAGTATTCTTGTGAATACGTGGAACGATCTTAACAAAATAAGACCTGGCATCTGTACCAGGCGAAATCTGTGATTTGATTGCTCAACTCCTGCAACACATGATAGAGCTACAAATGGAAGCTATTGTGCTTCGGAGGGATGGAACCCCTAACATGGCACAAATGTCCAAAACAAAAGAAAAAAAGAGCGTCCTGTCATTGAGCCCAATGCAATGCACAATGACTGGGCATTATTCCTTGACACTTTGACCACTTGGTATAAGATGATGTGAAAATTTACCAACCCAGTCAAAATATGCAAATTGAGAATGACATGCTCACCTGAGGTCAACAGGCTCCTTTTCAACCTTATAGGGGCTGAAACCATAAATTCAGCTATGGTGTAAAAGTTTATGTCACACATTGATTCATTGAAATAAAGGGCTTGCACAAGGAAGATCCCTGGCAGATCTTTCATTCCATATGGAAAATGAGTCACTCATTTTTTAGCAAGGCTACAAGCTCAAGCCAAGTTTTGCTTATTCACAATTGATTGTCTCAACATAGAAGGCTGTGGTTAGCAAGTCAACTACTTGTGTGACCTGATATCTGGGCAGATGATTGCAGGGCTCTCCAACAAGGAGCACCAGAATTGAGTTTGGGCTGAGGCTGCCAACTTCACCACACTAGCAAAAGTCTGACTGACTTGTCAGCTTGGAAATGACAGACAAGTCAGCTGCACAGTAACTAAACGATGTTAACACATCAAAATCATCCTACCTACAGATATCTGGCCATGAACACTGTGCACTTCAGCAACCCCGAAGTAATGTACCTGCTTCTTTACTGAATTAGAATCCTTTTGTGGGTTGCAGGAAGACATTCCACCCAGGTGGATCAATTAGTAGGAGAGATTGCCCAGTAGCTAAACTGGTATGTCATAATTGCTAGATTAGGGGTCACGTAAAAAGGGTAGGCCAAAAATCTACTAAAATTGAAATCTGAACCACAAACAGATCAGCAAGGTGTGAGACTGGGCATGATTCATTCACTTTCTTAAACACTAGTCTGAAAGTTTGCTCCATCTGCTATGCTGGCAGACCAAAATGGAGCCATAAAACCAGTTTGATACTGCCTGGTGCTGTGCCTCATCTTGCATGGAATGGAAAGCAATTTGAAGGTGTCCCAGATCTACCACCATCACTGACTACAGAAGGGACTTCGTTTGGGTGCACCCAGACTGGCCCAATTAGCCATGGTAGCCATCGCATCCTCACATTTACCAACACGGGCTCAAACTTGTTCAAGTGGACCAAAGATATTAATATTAGGTGTCCAGACGAGTACCTCGTGCCAACTAGTCATTGGATATGGGGCATCACAGACAATGAACTTCATATAGGTGTGTTGTTCATGCATATATAAGAATTGGCTTGAGGGAGACATAACAGGTAGCATATATCAAACAATATGTCTGGTTTTTAATTATCAGAATCTGTCCTGAAGGACCTACATCTATTGCCAGCTGATATCCCAGCCCAGACATCACGGCTAAACTCATTGAAGGACATAAAGATAATGCCCTGTGCACATGCCTACACAAAAAAGCCCATTCCAGCAATGCCTAAGTATCATCCTGTTCCTTAAGAATTGGGGAATACGGAAACATACTTTGTTGGCTTACTATCCACAAAGCAATGGCTGGGCAAAACTGACCATCAAAAGTACATACTCAGAGACAACACAGACAGCTGTGGTCAGCTGTATCATGATCATGCCGCCCATGCTTTGCTGACCCAATGCAACACTCACGTCCAAGATCTTGCCATGTCTCCTGCTGTGATGTAAGATATGTAAACAGTGGAGAGAAATTGGTGAACTGAGAAAGGCAGCAATGGTTAAAAGGTACATGCGGAGTGAGCACTTTTACAATGAACATTGTGGCCCATTTCAGGAATTTAAAATTGGCAATTCTGTTCAAATCTAAAATAAAGATGGCCCTTACCTTTGCCAATGGACAAAAACTGCGAGAATTGCAGAGATATTGGTAACCGGCAGTACCGTGTGCGGGTGGACAGAAGCAATCGTGTATCTCTATGCAAACGTCACTTCCTCTGTAAGATTCACCCAGGTATTGATGTCCCATGTCATTGTACCCAGGAAACGGATCCTTTGACCTCATGGCACTGCAATCTACAGCCAGTTCAAGATAGCAACACAAAAAATCATATATATCTAGGCCAGAACCGTATGATACCTCTGCAAGTCGTGGAGTCTGGCTGCAATGACCTGGTGAATCCTCTATGGTGATCGACACAGAGTAAAATCCCTTATCACCCAACATAAACCAAATACCTCAATTAATGAACCAGAAGAAATGGAAATTACTGAAACCACAGATTCAGTAAGCCCAATACAAAATAATATTAGAAAACACCAATATTGGGCAATGCCAGCCTCAAGTCAACACCCACGTCGACACCCCAGCACCCCAAGCTCTATCCCCACAAATGCGAGGACAATCACACACATATTCTGGGGTAAACTTTCAATTTACCCTGTCAATCTGTCCTGTGGTCAGAGGAGGGAGGGGGCATGTAGAGTAGAAATGGAAGATCTCATTAGATAATGGGGGACTTCCATAGGCAGACACTGAAGGACATAAGTTACTTTCTATGGTAATAAGGTAATCGAGAATTACTACTACCATTGTCATTGTGGTTATTTTACAGTGAGGTTGAAGACTTTTCTATATATGGTATCATTACTCAATATACATAACTATACACCTTTAATTTGCCAATTCTTTACTCATTTTTTTATTGATCTACACATTTTCTTTTATATACTCATTCTTGCTATGTGTTTGTCTTTAATGTATATGTATATTCACATGGGCAAATGTAACTTCACTTGCAAGTATTTCAGAACCACCTTTTAAGTAGGGTTATTATAACACTCACCATATAAACATTTTATTTGTAGACTAATGTAAGTTTTTTTTTAATCATTTCACAATGTCCCTAGAACGCAGTCTTACAAAGAGTGAAAGAGAATAAGACTGAAAATGGGCAGGATTGAGTAAAGGACAAAAAAGAAATAGGGTTTAAAAAGACAGAAGGTGATGATTGGCATTACATTTAAATCTTTGAAGATTGTAGTTAAGCAAGAAATTGAGAGGGATTTCCACAGGTGTAAAGTACGAGAAAAGAAACTGTTAGAGTAGAAGTGAGGGTTTCATCTAACTAGTTCAACAGTAAAACAGATGCCAATCTAGTAGCATGCTTAAATTCATATAGTCAGAGCAGCAGAGAAGAGAAAAAAAGCTCCTCAAAAGAGTTGACAAGAAAATTTTTTTTAAAAAAAAAGATAAAGGGAACATCCTGTCAGTGAGAGTGACTGAAGTCAAGATGCCTGATCAGGATCAATTACATTACCTATCCTTTGTTTTTATCAAGAATTGCAAGATGTACAGCAAGAGCAATCTGGCCAGATATGCCAACAGTATTCATTGCACAAATATGTGGGTAGATTTATAAATGTACGAGATGGATTCTGACAAGAAAAATTTTCTGGCACGACACAATGAACCAATTTTAAGATAATTTTTTTTTCTCTCTTACATGTATATATTCTCTTACTCATATGTATTCTACTTGTATATTTTAGTTGGTAAATTTAATGTTTTATCTGATAAAAGGGTTAGCTTTGAGAGCCTTGTGACCATGTGGTCCATTTGTTTATGGGCTTATTCTGTGGTATCCGCTATTTGTTCTATACTTTATCATGTATGTTTCATATCCACAAATCCTGTAGTTTGCCATGCAGAGGTATGCATTTTCTGTTCTTATTTCTTTACTCAAATTCAAAAATGTATGGTTAATCTGTTGCTTGATATCATGCCAAAAGGATAATCTTGTTTATTGTAGAGATCACCAATTCAACAACCATCTGCCAATTTCTCATTTTTCTTCTTACACATGCTCTATCTTTAACTTTGCTTGTTTTGAAATT